TAGGTGGAAGCTACGCTCACCTGCTCCCAGCCCAAACCATATTTACAGCTAAATTACAGAGCAATCAACCTGAATTACCAAGTGAAGTCGAACTGAACTGAAATGCTATAACCAAGAATTTACAAGAGAAACCACATAGAGACTGATAAGAAGGGTAGATTGCCCTTTTTGTGTCTCTCCCCAGGAGCATGAAGTCTCAACCCAATGCAGAGAGCCCCTAACCAGAGCAATAGAGATGAGAAAAGGAGCCCCCATTACATCCAGTGGTGAAAATCAGTGGGAGACCCAAACGCTGCTTTTTCAGAGATGAGCACTCTTATTACTACAGAACCATCCCAGAAACTACACTTCCCAGTTTCTGACTGCTGGTGAGCCCACTCTGCCATACTTGGGTCGTGCAAAGGGGTCTGCTGGCTGCAGCCAGCAGTGACTGTTGGGACCCACGTTTTCTGGGGAGGCTCTTGGCAGAGACCCAGATAGTGACTAAACTATGTGGCTTTGGAAAGAGGGCTGGTCTCCCCCATATTGAGCACACAGCCAGCATCCCTCTCCCACCTGTTTAATCACTTGGCTAGCCTCATTCTGCTAAGTTCAGCCAAGCAGAAAACCAGAGTGCAGTGCAGAGCTAGGACTCTGGAGCAGGTCTCCTGGAAAAGCTTGTCTGAGAACCAGACAGGCAAGGGCAGAGGTATGTGGCTACACCATGGTGGGAGGGGTGGGGGATGGAAAGGCCACTCTTATATCCCTGGCAACACAGCCCATCCAGTGCTACCCAGGGAATGGGAAAAAGTACCAGGCCCCTATCCTACAGGCTTGTGGGTACTACCCCTAATAGAAGACTTTGGATCTATCCTACCAAGTTCCGGATATGCTGCCCAAATGGGCTCAGTTCTGTGGAGGGAAAGGAGAGCAGCTCAGGGGAGGGATAGTCAGAGTGAGTCCCTCAGAGGCCATTATCTGGGACCAGAACAAAGTACTTTGCCCCCTTAAGTAGGCTGCGCCAGCATTCCCACCAATGGGAGACTTTTCTGATCTGTCCCGCTGACCTGGTAGCTCTGCCTGGCTGATGGGTACTAGGGCAGTCTTCACATCTTGGCTATTGTAAATAATGCTGCTAAGAACATAGCGGTGCATGTATTCTTTATAACTGGAATTTTGGGCTTCTTAGGATATATTTTCAGAAGTGGGATCCCTGAGCCAAAAGGAGATTTCATTTTTAGTCTTTTGAGGAAACTCCGTACTGTTTCCCATTGTAGCTGCACCAGTCTGCGTTCCCTCCAAACAGTTATACCATGCACAACAATAAACTCGAAATGGATAAAAGACTTAAATGCGAGTTGCAAAACCATAAAAATATTAAAAGAAAACATAGGCAGTAAAATTTCAGACATTTCTTGTAGCAATATTTTTGTGGACATGTCTCCTATGAAAAGGGAAATAAAGGAAAACTAAACAGGGCTGCATCAAACTAAAACAGCTTCTGCATCATAAAAGAAACCATCGACAAAATGAAAAGGGTACCCACTGTGGGGGGAGAATATATTAATCAATGATACATCTGACAAGGGTTAATTTTCAACATATATATAAAAAATTCATACAACTCAACACCAGGAGGACAAACAATCCAATTAAAAGTGGACAAAGAACCTGAACAGACACTTCTCCAAGAAAGACATACAGAGGGCCCAGAGACATATGAAAAGATGCTCAGCCTCACTAGCCATCAGAGAGATGCAAATGAAAACCACAATGAGATACCACCTCACACCTGTCAGAATGGCTGCCATCAATAAATCAACAAACAAGTGTTGGTGAGGATGTGGAGAAAAGGGACTTCACTCTGAACTCTATTATTTCTTTCGACTTACTCTGGACTTTGTTTTTCCCTTTTCTACTTGTTTTAGGTGTAGGTTTAGAGTATTTGAGTTTTTCTTGCTTTTTGAGGTAGACCTTGAGGTAATGCTGTGACCTTCCCTTACAGGACTGATTTTACTGTGTTTCATAAACTTTGGGTTGCCCTGTGTTGATTTTCATTTGTTTCCAGGTAATGTTTATATCTTCTTTGTATTGTTAATGCATTTATTGTTTAATAACATGTTATTAGCCTCCATGCATTTGACTGTTTTTCAGGGGTTTTATTTTATGGTTCACTTCTAGTTTCAGACAATTGTGGTCAGAAAAGAATCTTAGCATGATTTGAATCTTCTTTAATCTGTTAAGGCTTATTTTGTGTCCTAAAATGTGGTCTACCTTTGTGGTCTGCTGCTTTGGAGTGAAATGTTCTGTTAATATCAATTAAATCCATCCAATGCAGTATTTCATTTAAAGTTGCTGTTGCCTAGTTGAATTTTTGTACTTGAAGTTCCATCCATTGATGACAGTGGAATGTTAAAATCTCCTACTATGCTTGTATTGCTGTCAATCTCTCCATTTTTATATTTAGATGCTCCTCTGTTGGGTGCATATATGTTTACAAAGGATTGTTTGGTTTTTTGGTGCTGAGTTGTATGAGTTCTTTATAAATTTTGGATATTAACCCCTTATCAGATGTATTACTGGTGAATATGTTCTATTCAGTAGGTTGTCCTGTCATTTTGTTGATGGTTTTCTTTTCTGCGCAAAAAATGTGTAGTTTAATGTAGTCCCATTTATTTATTTTTTCTTTTGTTTCCTTGTCTAAGGAGATATATCAGAAAAATATTGCTATGAGAAATGTCAGAGATTTTACTGCCTATGTTTTTTCCAGGACTTTATGGTTTTGAATCTAACATTTAAGTATTTAATTCATTTTTTATTTATTCTTGTGCCTCGTCCAAGAAGGCTGTCTAATTTTAGGGAATTTTGCATGTATCTGTCTAATTTTCCCAACAACATTTATTGAATAGACTGTCTTTATCCCCATTGTATGTTCTCATCTCCCTTTCCAAATATTAATTGACCATAAAGTTATGGGTTTACTTCTGGGCTCTCTATTCTGTTCCATTGATCTGTATATCAGTGTTTACATCAGTAGCATGCTGTTTTTGTTACTATATTCTTGTAGTGTATTTTGATGTTAGGTAGCATGAATATAAATGCTAAATTCCCCCCAAAATATTTGCACACTGGATCCAGCACTGCATTAAAAAGTTAATACAGATCATTATCAAGGGGGATTTCTTTCACAGATGCATGGTTGGAACTATATTCACCAATAAATAAACATGATACATCACATAAACAAAATGAGTAATAAAAATCACATGACATATCAATAGGTGCAAAAAAGCATTTGATAAAATTCAGCACTTATTTATGATAAAAACTTGTAGCCAAGTGGAAATAGAGGGAACATACGTCAACATAATAAAGGCCACATATGAAAAACCCAAAGCCAACAACATACTCGACAGGCAAAAACTAAGGGTTTCCCTTAAGATCGGGAACAACACTGGGATGCTCGCGTTCACCACTCTTACTCAACATGGTACCGGAAGTTCTAGCCACAGCAATCAGACAAGAAGAAGAAATAAAAGACACCCAGATTGGAAAGGAGAAAGTAACACTGTCACTATTTGCAGGTGACATGATACTGTACATAGACAACCCTAAAGACTCCACAAAAAAACTGCTAGAATTGATAAATGAATTCAGAAAAGTAGTGGGATGCAAAATAAATATCCAGAAAATTGTGCATAAGTTTATGGTATTTCATTATTCGTGCATTTTATACACCAATAATGAAATACCATAAAGGAAAGCTAAGAAAAACGATCCCAGTTTTAATTTCATAAAAAATAAAATACCTAGGAATAAATTTAATGAAGGATCTAAAAGGCCCATAGTTGGAATAATATGACACTGAAGAAATAAATAGAAAAAGATGTAAGTGGAAGCATATACTGTGTTCATGGATAGGAATATTAAGATCATTCAAATATCCATACTACCCAAAGCAATCTATAGATTCAACACAATTCCTATCAAAATATCAATCACGTATTTCACAGAACTAGAACAGATATTGAAAAAATTTATATGGAACAACAGAAAACCCTGAATATCCATTGCAATCTTAAGAAAGAAGAAGAGAATTGGAAGAGAGCGAAATGCTTTCAAAGTCATTCTATGAGACTAGCATTAAACTAATACCAAAACCCAACAAAGACACTAGTAAAAGAGAGAGAGAGAGGGAATTACAGGCTGATATCCCTATGACCATAGATGCTAAAATTATCAACAAAATATTAGCAAACTGAATTCAACAGAACATTAAACTAATCATACACCATAATCAAGTCTCCTAACCTAGAGCTGTTTCTACCTCATCCTAATCCTTACTATGGTCCCTTAGACTTGCTTAATCTGTATCTTTGGAAGCCCAGGAGGACTGTGGATTGGGATTTAGGTGTTCTTGAGGGCCAAGTTTGCTGCTTTATAGAGATTTTAGTTATCAGTTAATGTATGAGGAAGTAAACACATGGCTCATCCAGAGAATGGGTATGCAAGAGGAGCAAAGAAAACAGGCTTCTAAAAGGCACCCTCTGTGCTCTCAAAGAAAAAATTATATTCCTAAAGGAGAAATCATCCAGCCCCAGCACCATAGCCCAAAGCCACAGAAGTTCTAGAAAGGAGATTCAAATGTTAAGAGCCTTCCTGGTCATCTGGAAGTAGAGGAAGATCAAGCCAAATTTGTCTGTAGCTTGTCAGGTGAATCTGCCTCTCCACGGTCCCTTCCTTTCACATACCACTGGTTAACTACTGGAGTTGGGAACTAATCCTATTATTTTTCTTATCTCATGGGGTCAGAGATCAACACCTTCACCTTTGGAAAGCATGTGGGTATGAAGGTACATCTGGATGTCATTAGCACAATTTAAAAGCACAAGGTGTGTTCTTGCTCTACTGTCCTTGAAAAGCACTCCAAAGTATTCCAAATTTACCTAGGGATTTATGTATCTACACATCCAGAAAAAATGCAAAATCCTTTGGTCTCAAAGCCCAACGCACTCACTCACCTTTGACATACACGTACACACTGGCCTTGTCATTAGGATCCTTGATGTCAGCAATGTCCTTGTAGCTACAGGTAAAGTAGCCTGTGTCACCGGCTTCTGTGTGGAAGATAGTGAGCTGGCTGCAAGTGACAAGGGGGTTATCAGAGCAGGGGTGCTCCAAGATGCGGGCCCGACCTCCTGCAGACCCAGTGCCCCAAGTCCAGGTAACGGAAGCCAGCGCCCTGAAAACACAACACAAAAAATATTCTGGGTCAGGCATGGAAAGGGCAGTGAAGAAGCAATATTGCTGCAGCTCCCAGTGTGAGTTCTGAAGGAAGAGTTATAACAGATAGCTGAGTTCCCATGAAAACGCTGGCACAAAGGATTGGAACACCTGACTACGGGTATGAGGAGTATCTGAAACCATGAGTTATGGTTTTGTCCTTCTCCCTCTCTATATTTCCTCCTTCTACTCAACTTATACCTTTAACCTAGCTCTCCCAATCAATGCATAGGCTTTGGAGTGTTTGCCATTAAACAGCTAAAGGCAGAGGGAAATACTGAGTTAAGTGATTTCTGAGGTCTTTCTGGATTTATGGTTTGGACTTACAGAATGAAAACTCCAAGACTCGGGGAGGTAAAAGGCAATATTCTTTGACCAGAATGTTGCTGGCAGGATCCACACTCAAAGTCCTATGTACTAGGTCCCAGTCTAGGTTTTTATTTCTATTTTTGAATTGTACCTTGTTGCCTCACTTAATTTAAAAGGCTTTTTTGGCAAATGAATTCTGAAAGGGCATGTGGATTAGAACCAGGGACCAAGTTAACTTTAAATTTGTTGTATTTCTTTCACGGGCAGACAAAATGGTAGTACTGTATATTATTATCTCATCAATTATTTTCTTCTCCTCCCAGTTCCTTATAACAAAAAGAATCTGTGGTACAATGACTGAAAAGATGCTGGGATGACAAACGAAACTGTATATCAAGTCTCAGTACCACTGTTCAGTTATGTGGCCTTGGGCAGTTAATTAAGCTTCCTAGGTCTCAGGGTTCTCATTTGCAAAACAGGGACTGTGACCCTTCTCTTACAGGCTTCCGTGAAGTCTCATTTAGAGACCTTATGTGGAAATGATTGGCAAATGCAAGCCCTCAGCAGTGGAAGGCAGTGGAAATTGGGGGGCGGGGGATGGAGCCAGATTTGATTCCTGTTCCTATGTCAAAGACAGCTACCCTTCCCCGTATCATATCTCATGTCCAGCATTCACACATCTATGACATCACTATGTATTGTGACCCACAAATTCACTGAAGTGAACAAAAGGTAAACCATCAAGTGGTGTGGGGAGCCGCAGCCCACCTTGAGTACATTCTTCAAGAGCAATGTATTTGCAGCCATTCTGAAAAGATAATACGTTACCATGGCCGTGGTTAAGACTGTTAAAAAAATACAAGGAGGGGTTAGAGACAGCAAGGCCAGGACTGAGGTAGAGAACAACAGTGCAAGTCCTGCCCCATCCCAACCCTCACCCTCTGGCTCTTGCACCCTGAGATTAGAACGTGGTTTTGTCTCTTTACATAGGAAGAAAATAAATCCGAGTCAGTTACTCAAGTCAACCACTGGAGCCTCTGTTCCTACTTGAACTCTCATCTCCTTAGAGTATGTCCAGCCTCATTGTGGGGTCTTTTTTTCTAAGATTTTATTTATTTATTTTAGAGAAAGGGAAAGGGATAGAGAAAAATGGGGAATGAAACATCATTGCTTCTCACGCACCCCTTACTGGGGACCTGGCCCACAACCCAGGCATGTGCCCTGACTGGGAATCGAAGCAGCCACCCCTTGCTTCACAAGCCAGCACCCAATCCACTGAGCCACACCAGTCAGGGCTCATTCTGAGGCCTTAAATAAACTGTGTGGCCTCCAAACCAGACAGGTTAAGAGAAGGTGTGCCGTGCGAAAGACTGAATTGTGTGCCCCACAAATTCACATGTTAAAGCACTAATCTCCAGTTATAGTTTGATATATAAAGATAATGAAGTTAATGAGGCCATTAGAGTGGACCCTAATTCAGTCTGGTTGGTGTCCTTATAAGAGGAGATTAGTACACACAGAAGAGATACCAGGCACGAGCACACACAGAGAAAAGACCACGTGAGGACATAGTGAGAAGGCACCTCATGGTTGCCTTCAAAGGGCTGAATGTAATTTCAATTCCTTAACAGTTATGGAGTAGTTACATTTCTACAGTCCTAAAATTATTTCAGCCCTTTGAAGGCAACCATGAGGCTGATGTGGCCCCCCCCCAGTGAAAATGAGCTTGACACCCCTGTTCTAGAACTATGAAAAAATAAATTTTTGATGTTCCACCCACCCAGTATTGGGTACTTTATTGTGGCAGCCCTAGTAAACTAACACACTCTCTGCCCTGTTATCAAGCTGCCATCCGAAATTTTATTATTTTTGTTGGGCTTTGTATGCTATGAGAAATTGGCCCTAGAATTTAAATTTCTTAACCTTTGCTTGTCTCACCTGACTAGACTCTCGAACCTGCCTCTTAGAGACAACAAATGGTACTGTTCTTCTGCTTTTCACCCCTATGTATGTAGTACCTCCAATGGCTATGGGCAATGTGCCAGTCCACACTAACCTGGCCTGTGAAGTCTTCAGGAATATTCCACACTGTCTGCTCCGTACCAGACAAAAGCAAGTGGGCAAGCAAGACAATATCTGGGGTCCAAGGGTTAGACAAACTGGTTTGTTTTTTTTAATTGAAGTATAGTTGACGCAACATTATATTAGTCTCAGGTGTACGACAGTGATTCCACATATCAATCCCCTGTGATGTGATCACCATATAAGTCTAGGTGCCCATCCGTCGCCATCCAAGTTATTACAATAATATGGACTGTTTTGCATCCCATGAATTGTCTTTATAACTGGAGGCATATACCTATTATTCTCCTTCATGTTTTTATGTATCCCCCCAAACCCTCTGACCACGGTCAGTTTTCTCTCTGTATCTATGGGCCTGTTTCTGTTTTGTTTGGTCTTCTTAAATTCCACAAATAAGTGAAATCATACAATATGTTTCTTCCTCAGTCTGATTTACTTCACTCACCATAGTATCGTCTAGGGTGGTGGGCAGGGGGTGGCTAGGGTATGAGCATCTTTAGAGACAGAAGGCCTAGACAGAGGAGCAAAGGTGAAGGCCTGGGATAAATGGGGAGTGGTGGAGGTCAAGGAGGACGAGCTGTTTATGTTTGTTCACACAGCAGACTCCTGATTTAGACCCATTTTTAGTTCCCATATCTGGATATTTGGTTGAGCTCGAGAGGACACTTTTGAAAATATTCCAGAAATAGAAACTAAGTTCCAGAGATTCCAAGAGCAGATTCTCATGCCTGGGCCTGAAGCAGCTGGATACTTGGAATGACTAGGCCTCCTATTCCTGATAACATCCTGGGGGAGAATCACATGCCAGAGTCTTGAGCTCCCTTACAAGCTGATTTATTTCCCCCATCCACCTTCCACAAGATACTGGGCTTGCCGGCCATAGCACCGAGGGCTTCCAGCTTAAGGCTTGGGAACTTAGGTAACTCGCACCGGAAAGTTTTACAGAGGCCAAGCTGAGCACGAGGAAGTATGGTCAGTCCCTGTTGGAGCTGGGCAAGGAAGTATGAGCTCAGCCTGCTCCACAGAGTTGTCAAAACTTACAAAATATAGAGAGTTGCCTGCATGTTTACACAATGAAAAACACACTGGCTTGGGCATCGGAGAGCTTGGTGCTGGCACTGGACACTTAACAAGTTCCTCCTCCTCTTCAGGCCTCGCAGTCCTCATCGGTAAAGTGGGGCTGATAGAACCTACCTCACAGATGTATTGAGAAAGTTTACTGAGTCAATCCATATAAACTGCTTAGAGCGAAGCATGATATAGATAAAGTACCCAACAAATCGTCATTATTGTGGTTATCAACTTTATCTGTCATAGGAATTATTTTTGAATCATATCATTCTTTCACACTCCACTTCCAATCCATTAGGATATACTCTATGCTCTATCTTCAAAATGTATTCAGGTCCTGCCCACTTCTCATTCTCTCCACTAGTGGCATCCTGGTCCCAGCCCTCATCATGTCTTGTCTGGAATGTTGCACTAGCCTCTGACTCTTGTCCCCTTTAATCCATATTCCTCACAGCATCCAGAGGGGGATTTTTTTAAATGTATATTAGACCACATCATTCCCCTGCTTAAATTCTTCCAGTGGCTTCCCATGACATTCAGAATAAATTCAAAGTCCTCACTGAGGTGTATAAAGTTCTGCGACTCTGCATCCTAACTTCTTTTAAAATTTTTTTAAATTTATGTATCTTTAGAGGGGAAGGGAAGCAGAGAGGAAGAGAAATATCAGTGCGTGGTTGCCTCTCGCATGGCCCCTACTGGGGACCTGGCCTGCAAGCAAGGCATGTGCCCTGACTGGGAATTGAACCGGTAACTCTTTGGTCCGTAGCCAGCACGCAATCCACTGAGTTACACCAGCCAGGGTTTTCTGGGTACTTTTAACTTCCCTTTTCAGAATTCTTATCTTGTTCATTCAACTGTGAGGTGAGTACCTAAAAGCAATTGAGTGTGATTTACCCAGTTGTGTACATATGGCCATGTCTACCTCCAGCCAGAGAATTGTGCCTAGCATAGCAGACACACAACTAATTACTTGTTTTATTATAAATTTATTTTTATTTGATACTCAGGGCAGTAATTATTACTTGTCCACATCCACAAAATGTTTTCTATACAATGAATAAATGAGGGAGTTTATATATAAACCCAGAGGGGGAAAGACACCTATGATCATTTGAGGACAAGAGAATAAATATTGGAAATTTTATTTTAGTGTTGTGGAAATTAGAAGTAAGGTAGCAGCACTGCCATTGCCCAATTGTGTGTCCTTTGCCAGGTATTGTCATCTTTTCAGTCCCCATGTTACTCATTTTTTAAAAGGGATTCAGAGGAGCTCCTCATGTTTCTGAAACCTTCTGAGGAGTTATTTATTTACAAGGCCATATACCTCCTTCTCGCATTCTACATTTCTACCCGAAGCACTATTAGCCTGTCTTCCAGATGAACTTTCTCTGGGATCCTCTTAGCACTGGAACAAATTTCCCCTAAAGTACCAACCAGACTACTTGCCCGAGCCAAGCCTGTCTCAAATGCATCACCTGGGGTTAAGTGTTACAATTTATGGTGAATTAGAGCTGGTTTTATGACTCTAAAAGCCCTGGAAAGAAGCCCTGGAAATAAGTATGATCTGTTGGAACACGACAAACCAGGACACATGCAGGCAACTGGTGGCAAGTTTTATACAATGGCTAATGTAGGTCAGATGTCATTCGGGGTTACTGAGGTAAAGTGATCCTGTGTGAGCAGGGGCTGATAATGCACTTGAGGCTGACTCTTCATTCATGCTTTATACCCAGAGAAATTGCTAAGCAGGCATACAGGTGAGGAAAAGACAGCCTCCAAAAACCAAATGTCTGGCTCCAATCCCCTGATCAAACTAGCTAGGAGAAAAGGTCACCCCCTGCAGGGGGAGTACAGGAATCTATAAGACCTAGAATAGGAAAACCCCTACCTCTAGTTATGCTATCACTACATTTTAGTATAATTCACTAGGCATGACAATATGGGTTCTCCCCTTCTTTCATAGTACTAAAATATTTACTTTTTTAGTTGGACATATGGCCTCCTGTATAAATCACTGTATTTCCCAGCCTCTCTTGCAGCTAAGTGTGGCCATGTGACTAAGTTTTGGTCAAAACAATATAAGCACAAGTGGTGTATAGAGCTTTTGGGAAAATGGTCTTAGATATAGAAGGCACGCTTTTCTTTACCTTTGTATTTTTTTTAAAGATTTTATTTATTTATTTATCTTTAGAGGGGAAGGGAAGAAGAGAGGGAGAGAAACATCAATGTATGGTTGCCTTTCATGCGTCCCCTGCTGGGAACTGGCCTGCAGGGAATCGGTCTGCAACCCAGGAATATGCCCTGACTGAGAATTGAACCGCGATCCTCTGGTTTTACCTTTGTTTTTGGTGTTTTTTTCTAACTACCTGGAATGTAGACATGATGAATGGAGTTTGAATAACCATTTTGGACCACATGGTGAAAGTTACTAGTTAATGAAGGTGGATCTATAATATAGAAAAAGTATGAGTTTCTAATGATTTCACGGGGCTGGTATGCCATCCCTAGATATCCACCCTTTGGATTTTTTTCCATAAAACAATTAAACTTTATTTCCCAATGCAGCTGTTAACTTGGGTTTCCTATTGCATATGTCACAATGGAACCTTTACCATACTGGTACCTCAGCTAGCTTAGCAAGTGAGGGAGCACTGTACTATACTTTCAGTTCAATTGAATTCAATACACATTTATTGAGCACCTATATCTGCCAAAGAATCTGACCACTCCTTCTTTCTTGAAACCTTGCTTTCCCCTATTATAGTTCTCCTGTGTTTCTCCCTCTTACTCATTCTCCATGTACTTTCCCAAGTCTGCTTCCTGCCCAGGCAATCCTGAAGCACAGGGACTCCTGAAGATTATGACCTGTACCCTTTTGTCTTCTCACTCAACATACCCTCCCCTACTATCCTCATCTACTTACATAGTTTCAACTCTCATTCATTTTCTGTGAATAACTCTCGCATTATCTCTAATTGAGTTTCTTTCCTATACCCTCATACTTACTGTTCTTAGAATGTAAAATCCCTGTTGAGCTTTTCAAACTAAACTTCCCTTTCTGCTAGAATTGCCATCTCCATTATTCACCAATATGAAGAACATATTAGGAAAAGAGAAGAAGTACCCACTTCCAGTTTTCTAGATATTTTTGAAAACATGACATTGTTCATTTGGCCACATACATATGAGTCTACAAGAAATGTGACACTGTGGATATCGAGGAAGTAGATAGCATTTTACGAGTTCTAAACAATGCAACCGTGACAAGGGAGAGTTTACAGGCTCATATACTGTGTGGTATTGACATTGTTGTAAACAAGTAAGAGCAGATTTTTGCCAAGAGAATTAATGTACATTTTGGCATATTATGGACTTTAAGAGTCAAATTAGTTTCCTGGAATGTGTGAAAAAAAGTAATAATGTAAATAAGGGAGCCAAAGACAAAGATATCTAGATTCAGCTGAAAAGCTAGCCCACTCCACCCAGAGAAGTATACTTGATGAAACCACTATTAAGAAGCCTGATCTTCCAGAACCTATTATTCTCTACTATTATAAAACAGATGAAAAAAATTTGGAGTGTAATCAAAAACCCAATATTTCTATGCTGTGACTGGTGTGGTTCAGTGGACTGAGTGTTGGCCAGCAAACCAAAAGGTCACTGGTTTGATTACTGGTCAGGGCACATGCCTGGGTTGTGAGCCCCATGTCCAGTTTGGGGCATTTGAGAGGCAACTGATTGATGATTCTCTCCCTCTCTTTCTCCCTCTCTTACCCTTTCTCTAAATAAGAAAACAAATACAATCTTCAAATCTAAAAGAGTTGTTATTTTAAAAAAAGCACCCAATATTTCTGAGCTCCCTACCAATGGGTCTTTTAATCAGGAAAGTTGAAGGGCCTTGATTTTGTTACCTGCAGGTGATGTCAAATGTTCCACCAGCTTGGATCACCACTTGATCTCCAAGAATGCTCAGTTCTGGCTTCATCATGGTTTCTTTATTGGCAAGACCTGAACCAAGATAAAATTTATTGCTATTAGACTTTTTCAATTAGTCATCAGATGTATCCAAATATCATTCCATATGAATAAACTGATATTTATGTGAAGCCAACTGCTGCATTCTCTGTAACAGCAAACCATTAGAAACACCCAAATGTCTACAGATAAGGGACTGATCGAATGATGATGCATACATGTGATGGCATACACAACAATAATACAGAAAAAAGGAAGCACTTCATGTAACAATATAGAGCAGTCTCCAAAATAAATCAAATAAAAACCAAAATACAAAGTAGTATGTATAGTACATAAGCACTGAAGAGAACAAAATAGAGGTATTTTGCATGCATAGAACTGGAAGACACAAAAAATTAGGTGCAGGTGGTTGCCTCTGGGGAGGGAAAATGGAGGATAGCAAATAGCAGATGTAATGGACCTTTCCACTGCATACACCTGTGGTCATGTTGCATCATTGTGTACAGCTACTTACCAGTACTACCTAATAGAGTTCAAAAAGTCTGTTGCTCGTCCCATTGATTTTGGACTTGGCCATATGACTTGATTTTAACAAATTGAATTTGGATTGAAATGATTGTGCATCAGTTTGAGTCTGGATTTTTAATAAACATCACCTGTTCTTGTTCAATCTCCTTCTTTTCTGCCACTGCTGTAACAAAACCGGATCTATGTAGGCTGCGTGTCCAAGGAAAGTGAAAGACAAATGGAGCAGACCTAGACCCCACAGGCTCAAGCCAAACCCAGTAGAACTGGCCTAGATTAGCATAACACTAAATGATGCACAGTTGCATGAGCAAGAAATACATATTAACATGATGCAGTTAATTAAACATAATTTAATTTAGTACAATTGAAATGAAAAACAGCACAAACCTGAATTTGACAATTTTATCAGTTTTACCATATGTACACACACATGCAACTATTACTTCAATAAAAATAATTCATATTTCCATCAACTCTAAGACTTATTTAATGCCCCTTTTTTTTAAAGATTTTATTTATCTTTAGAGGGGAAGGGAAGGAGAGCGGGAGAGAAACATCAATGTATGGTTGACTCTTGCGTGTCCCCTGCTGGGAACTGGCCTGCAGGGAACCAACCGGCCTGCAACCCAGGCATGTGCCCTGACCGGGAATCGAACCACGATTGTCTGGTTCAAAGGCCCGCGCTCAATCCACTGAGCTACACCAGCCAGGGCTATTTAATGCCCCTTTGTAAACCATCTGTCTCTCCACCCTTGCCTCCAGGCAACCAATGATCTGCCTTTCTTTCACTATAGATCCTTTTGAATTTCCCACAATTTTAAAATAAATTGAATTATATAATATATACTCTTTCTTTTTTAATTTTATTTATTTATTTTTAGAGAGAGAGAGGAAAGGAGGGAGAGAGGGAGAGAAACATCAATGTGTGGTTGCCTCTCACGTGGCCAGCACTGGGGACCTGGGTCCACAACCCAGGCATGTACCCTGACTGGGAATCAAACTGGTGACACTTTTGGTTCACAAGCCACATTCAATCCTCTGAGCTATACCAGGGCAGTATTTACTCTTTCATGTCTGGCTTTGTTCACTCAGAGTACTGATTTTGAGACATATCTCCATCATAGCATATATCAATATTTCATTCCTTTTCATCTCCAAGCAGTATTCCATAGTTTGGATATAATCCCATATTGTTTAGCGATTCATGGACATTTGGGTTATTTCCACTTTTTGGTTATTATGAGGAAGAGCTGCTACAACATTTATGTAAGTATGGACATATATTGCCACTTATCTTAGATGAATACTTAGATGCGGAATGGCTGGGCCATGCAGTAGGCCTATGTTTAGCCTTTTAACAACCTGACACACTGTTTTCCAAAGTGTTTGGACCATTTTGAAACTCAGTAGCAATGAATTGGAGGTCCAGTTGCACCACATTCTTGCAAACATTTCATATGGTCAGTGTTTTAAAAGTCTAACAAATCTAGCGGGTATGTAGAAATATCTTATTGTGGTTTTAATTTGCATCTCCCCAATGATTAATAATATAGTACATACTCTCATATACTTATTGGCCATCTATGTCGCTTTTTTTAAAAGAAATGTCTATTCAAATCTTTGTAATTTCTAGGGGGTATTTGTCTTCTTTTTGAGTTGTTAGCGTTATTTGCACATTCTGTTTGATATATGTGATGCTGCTACTGGGTTTAGAGCTAGTTTATTGGGCAGCATTTTTTATTATTGCATTTTATTTTATTTTTATTTTTATTTTATCGATTATGCCATTATAGTTGTTCTATTCCCCCTTCATTCCCCTCCACCCTGCACACCTCCTCCCCCACCATTCTCCCTTTAGTTTATGACCCCATGTCTCAAGTTCTTTAGATTCTATATTTCCCCTACTATTCTTGCCCTCCCCCTATCTATTTTCTACCTACCGTCTATGCTACTTATTTTCTGTACCATCTCCCCCCTTCTCCTTCTCCCACTCCCCTGTTGCTAACCCTCCATGTGATCTCCATTTCTATGGTTCTGCTCCTGATCTAGCTGTCCTCTTACTTTCATTTGTTTTAGGTGTGGTTGTTAATAACTGTGAGTTTGCTGTCCTTTCACTCTTCATCTTTTTTATCTTCTTTTTCTTAGGTAAGTCCCTTTAACATTTCATAGAATAAGGGCTTGGTGATGATGAACTCCTTGAATTTGATCTTATCTGAGAAGCACTTTATCTGCCCTTCCATTCTAAATGAAAGATTTGCTGGATTGATCAATCTTGGATGTAGGTCCTTGTTTTTCATGACTTGGAATACTTCTTTCCAGCCCCTTCTTGCCTTTAAGGTCTCTTTTGAGAAATCTACAGACAGTCTGATGGAAACTCCTTTGTAGGTGACTGTCCCCTTATCTCTTAGACAGCATTTTTGAGGCTGCAACTGACCTGTACAATACCCTGATGTGTATATTTTCAATTACATACCATGATAATAAATTGCCTATTCAAAATAAGTAAATACAGCCAAGTAAATAAGGCAGCAAACAAAAATATTTCTTGTCAATTATTTAAAAGGAAAGGAAAGTACTATTTATTGACCACTTATTAAATATGTTAACAGTTTTACTTGTTTTAACTCACTGGATCATCAAAATGATCACTGGATCATCACTGGAAAATGATCACTGGATCATTTTCTGTCAGGTAGGTACTATTATTATACCTCTTACAGCAAGTTGGAAAACTGAGGCTATAGAAAACTGAGGTTCACAGTCAGATAGCCTGTAAGTGGTAGAACTGGGTGGGGTTCAACCTTGGAGCTGCCTGATTCCAACGTGCATGCTCTTTCTATGAAATTGCGCTGTTTTCATCTATGAAGCATAGCTCATCTTCCCCCCAAGTCCAGGGCTAATGCTCAAGTGCCACCATGTCCAAGCCAGTGGCCAAAATAGAACTAAAGCTAAATCATGTTGACAGATTGTATTATATTACATAATAGTTAATAGTAATATTACCTAAAACATTTTATTCCAGTTCCATTGACAATTAAGTGATCCTTTTTCTGAGTTCCAGGAACATACTGTGAGACCATAATTATAGGTATCACTTCACTCTGCCCTACAGTGAATGCCATTTTTCTTATGTCTGGCCACTGCAGAGATTGGGAGCTCCCTGATACTGGGAACTATGCTTATTCATCTATGTACCCCCACTCCAGAGCACAGAGCAGAGGGTTGCCCCCATGGCCAACTTAAGGAATGTGCCATTTCCTAGGTTTAGTGATGCCATGAGTGAAACAGAGGCTTCAGACATGGTCTTTGCTTTCAAAGATCTCAGTCTAGTAAGAAAAGCAGACATCAACAATTGATTGCATCGAATATATTAAGGGCTATAATATATTATGAAACAAGAGCTGGAAAAGTAAGGACTTCCGCCAAGATGGAGGTATAGATGGATGTGCCGTACCTTCTCACACAACCAAGTTTAGGGACAACTAAATAAGAGCATCAGAAAACACAACCAGAACACGGAAAATTGAACTTTTTGGAAGTCCGGTAACAACAAATTCTTCAGCCCGACCGGTAAGGGGCGAAACCGGCGTCTCGTGAGGGGTTGCACAGGACTCCGGTCGGACGGACCCAGGTGCGGAATCCAGACGCGCGAATCCAGACGCACGGGTTCCAAACCCAGGATTGGACCCAGGATTGGACCTAGCAACCCACCGGGTGAGCGACTGCTGAGGAGACAGTGAGGAGGCAGGGCTGCGTGTTGACTGCGGTTGCCTATCTGTGGGCGAGCGGACAGGCGAGGGAGTGGGCGCTTGGACCGGGCCCGGCGGTCCCCGTGGCTTGCGGCAGTAGAGGGCGCCGCCATATCCCCGCTCTGACCACGCCCCCACATACAGCGTCACAACCCAGCGACCTGGGAGTCCAAGGCGCCGCTTCTCCTGCTTAAAGGGCCAGAACAGACCAAAAATGTCGCAGAAAAACCTCAGAGCCCCAGAGATAAATCTAAGCGACGAAGAAATAGCAAAACTCTCAGACGCACAGTTTAAAACACTGGTCATCAGGTTCCTAACAGATCTGGTTGATTATAGCCACAAATTAGAGAAACATATGAAGGCTAAACTAAGGGAAATGAATGGAATTCCACAGAAAACCCATAGAGATGAAAAGGAAACTGGGACTCAATTCAATGAAGTGGCCCAGAAGAAAGCAAATAATGGCCAAACAGAAAAGAGTCAAGGAGCAAGAATTCAAAGAAATGAGGAGAGTCTTAGGAACCTCCAGGACATCTTTAAACGCTCCAATATCCGAATTATAGGGGTACCAGAAGGGGGAAAGACACAACCACCAGTGGAAAAATTATTTGAACAAATAATAAAAGAAAATTTCCCCAATCTGGCAAAGGAAATAGACTTCCAAGAAATCCAAGAAGCTCAGAGAGTACCAAAAAAAGTTGGACTCAAGAAGAAACACACCAAGGCATATCATAATTACATTAGCCAAAATTA